CATGACTGATAACTGATACAGTGACAATATAGCATTACAATGACCATGACTGATAACTGATACAGTGACAATTTAGCATTACAATGACCATTACATTGACCATTACTGATAACTGATACAGCGACAATATAGCATTACAATGGCCATTACTGATAACTGATAAAGTGACAATATAGCATTACAATGACCATGACTGATAACTGATACAGTGACAATATAGCATTACAATGAACATTACTGATAACTGATACAGTGATAATATAGCATTACACTGACCATTACTGATAAATGATACAGTGATAATATAGCATTGCACTGACCATAACAAATTTATAACAAATTTGTGCACTATATTCAATTATCTAAATAATATTGATCATCAGCTTGACTCACATTCATCAGTAGGATCCACTTACCAGGATCAATGCTGGAACCAGATAGGCATACTGTCCTGTTCACATCAGGATCAATGCTGGAGTCAGATAGGCATAGTGTCTAGTCCACTTACCAGGATCAATGCTGGAGTCAGATAGGCATACCGTTAAAATCCTATTATAAACCGCATACCTAATAGTAACCGCACCCCCGATTTCGGCTTCAGTGTTAAAGAGTTCTCAACAAAAATTGAAAACATGAAAAGTACCTATTAGTAACCGCACCCCCAATTCAACAAGACCGTGACTTTGTTTCAACGAGCTGGTACATTTTTTTTCTTAATCCTATTCATTTGTTTCAACAACGTGCCTAAAAATATTCACATCTCTTTATTGTTCAGTAGTGTTAGGATGTCAAACACGCAGTGAAACTGATTTTGTCTTGTGACAACTTTTCTCAATACTCCTTATGAATACGTCCGTGTGTCGCAAGTTTTCGACAATGAGCTGTTCTCACCGAAAAACTGTTAAATTATTTTTCAATGCTCAGTTTATCTTTTGAAAACAACTAATTTCTTGATTTAAAAAAAAAGTCGTGTCGTTTTCCCATGGAAATCAAAGCCAAAAGATCGCACTACATCATCGGTAAATCTCTTCCGGGTTTCGTTCACCATGAAGTCGGTGACCTGTCATTAACATATTTAAATTAACTAAGGTAACTTGAACACGTGGGTACCATCCAGCATTTT